CCCAAAATCCCCAACAAAACCAAACCCCAGAGGGCTCCAGGACAGATTCCAGGCCCTCATTCCTGGCTCCTCACCTGCCCCCAGGAACAGCGTGGACCAGAGGTTGACGTTGAGCATCATGTGGTTGGAGCCTGTCTGGTAGTGAGCCCTCATGTGGTCCTGGGACACCCCCGTGAGCCCGTCCAGGGTCAGAGACAGCAGCTGGGCACCCACAGACAGACAGACACACAGACAGGGGACAGACAGACACACAGACAGACAGGGGACAGACAGACACACAGACAGACACACAGACAGACAGGGGACACTGTCAGGCCCTGGTTCCTCTCCCCAGGGAAAATGGCATTTCCCCCTTCACAGCAGTTACCAACGGGGATTTCAGTGGGGCTGGAGGGTGCAGGAGGCTCCTCCCAGCACACCTGGGCTGCTGCAGCCCCAAGGTACACCTGGGAGCCTGGGTTTATCCCAGGTAAATCCCACCTGGGAGCCTGGGGTTTATCCCAGGTAAATCCCACCTGGGAGCCTGGGTTTATCCCAGGTAAATCCCACCTGGGAGCCTGGGGTTTATCCCAGGTAAATCCCACCTGGGAGCCTGGGTTTATCCCAGGTAAATCCCACCTGGGAGCCCGAATGTATCCCAGGTAAATCGCACCTGAAACCCTGGAATTTATCCCAGGTGAGGGGCAAATCCCACCTGGGAGCCTGGGTTTATCCCAGGTAAATCCCACTGGGAGCCTGGGGTTTATCCCAGGTGTAAATCCCAGTGGAAACCCTGGAATTTATCCCAGGTAAGGGGTAAATCCCACCTGAAACCCTGGAGTTTATCCCAGGTGTAAATCCCACCTGAAACCCTGGAATTTATCCCAGGTGAGGGGCAAATCCCAACTGGGAGCCCAGGGTGTATCCCAGGTGTAGATCTCCCCTGAAACCCTAGAATTTATTCCAGGTAAGGGGTAAACCCCACCTGAAATGCTGGAGTTTATCCTGAGAGCCCAGGTTTATCCCAGGCGTAAATCCCACCAGAATCCCGGGATTTTTTCCAGGAATAAACCCCACCTGAGTCCCCGGGGTTCCTCCCAGGTGCCACCCCACAAGTGCCAGCACTCACCAGGAGCAGCTCCCCGTAGCCAAAGACGTGCTCGGTGTCCCCTGTCCCTTTTTTGGGCTTGTAGAGGAACAGGGCCACCCCTGCCACGATGAGCAGCACGCACAGGTACTTGGCTGGGGGGTACCTCTTCCTCAGCAGGGTCACCCCCAGCAGCATCACTGGGAAAAAGAGACATCAAAAACTGCCCCAAAAATCACCCACAGCAATGAAACCCCTAAAAAATCACCCCCAGCAGCATCACTGGGAAAAGGGACATCAAAAACTGCCCCAAAAATCACCCACAGCAATGAAACCCCTAAAAAATCACCCCCAGCAGCATCACTGGGAAAAAGAGACATCAAAAACTGCCCCAAAAATCACCCACAGCAATGAAACCCCTAAAAAATCACCCCCAGCAGCATCACTGGGAAAAGGGAGGTCAAAAACTGCCCCAAGATCCACCCACAGGAATTAAAAACCCCCAAAAATCACCCCTAGGAGCATCACTGGGAAAAGGGACATCAAAAACTGCCCCAAAAATCACCCACAGCAATGAAACCCCTAAAAAATCACCCCCAGCAGCATCACTGGGAAAAGGGAGGTCAAAAACTGCCCCAAGATCCACCCACAGGAATTAAAAACCCCCAAAAATCACCCCTAGGAGCATCACTGGGAAAAGGGAGGTCAGAAATTGCCCCAAAATCCATTCACAAAAATTAAACCCCAAAAAGTCACTCCCAAATCACGGCTGGGGAGACAGAACGTCCCCACCCGATCCCAAAGCCCTCCCTGGAATGCCAGCCCAGCCCCAGGTGGCTCTGCCAGGGAGGCCCAGAAATCACAAACCCCCCCAAAAACGGGCAGTTCTTTACCTGGGATGGGTTTGCAGGACTTGCCCAGCACCTGGGAAAGGAAAAGGGGCATTGATGATCCATGAATGACCCCAAAGCGAGAGCCCAAAGTGAGAGACCCCCCAAAGTGAGAGACCCCCCAAAGTGAGAGACCCCAAAGTGAGAGACCCCCCAAAGTGAGACCCCAAAGTGAGAGACCCCCAAAGTGAGAGACCCCCAAAGTGAGAGACCCCAAAGTGAGAGAACCCCCAAAGTGAGAGACCCCCCAAAGTGAGAGACCCCAAAGTGAGAGACCCCCCAAAGTGAGAGACCCCCCAAAGTGAGAGACCCCAAAGTGAGAGACCCCCCAAAGTGAGACCCCAAAGTGAGAGACCCCCAAAGTGAGAGACCCCAAAGTGAGAGAACCCCCAAAGTGAGAGACCCCCCAAAGTGAGAGACCCCAAAGTGAGAGACCCCCAAAGTGAGAGACCCCCCAAAGTGAGAGACCCCAAAGTGAGAGACCCCCAAAGTGAGAGACCCCCAAAGTGAGAGACCCCCCAAAGTGAGACCCCAAAGTGAGAGACCCCAAAGTGAGAGACCCCCCAAAGTGAGAGACCCCCCAAAGTGAGAGAACCCCCAAAGTGAGACCCCTGGGGCAGCTGAGCCTCAGCAGGGAGGGCTCAGCCCCCATGGCAGTGACCCCAGTTCCCTGGCAGGTGACACTGCCACCATTTCTGGGCAGCTCTGTCCCTTCTCAGAGCCCTCCCTGCACCCCCAGCAGGGACCGGGACACAAAAGTGACCCCAGGAAACGGCAGGGTCGGTGTCACAGCCAGATCCACCAGTGTCACAGCCAGGGTCCCCTCAGGGTCACAGCCAGGGTCAGGGTCCACCAGTGTCACAGCCAGGGTCCCCTCAGGGTCACAGCCAGGGTCCCTTCTATGGGGTAGCTGTGTCCCCATGTCTCCCCATTCCCGTGCCCACCTGGGTGGGGTACCTGTGTCCCCGTGTGCCCCTGTCCCCATACCTGGGTAGGCTAGCTGTGTCACAGCTGTGCCCCAGCTCTGTCCCAGCCCTGTCCCTGTGTCCCCACGCCCTGTACCTGTGTGGGGTAGCTGTGTCCCCATGTCTCCCTGTTCCTCTGTCCCCTTGTCTCATACCTGTGTGGGGTAGCTGTACCCCAGCCCTGTCCCCGTGTCCCAGCCCTGTCCCCATGTCCCAGCCCTGTCCCCATGTCCCCGTGTCCCCCTGTCCCATACCTGTGTGGGGTAGCTGTGTCACAGCCCTGTCCCAGCCCCTTCCCCGTGTCCCCCTGTCCCATACCTGTGTGGGGTAGCTGTGTCACAGCCCTGTCCCAGCCCCTTCCCCGTGTCCCCCTGTCCCATACCTGTGTGGGGTAGCTGACGAACTGCAGGGCGGAGTTGCTGGACACCATGGCGCCCAGGTAGGACAGCGAGCACGCCCCGTACAGCCAGCCCCGCGTGCGGTCCGGCCGTGCCGCGTCCACGAAATGGATCACTGCGGGGACAGGGACACGGGGACACGGCTCAGGAGCGGCCCCGGCCCCGCCACGACCGGCGCGGGGTCCCGGGGGTGCCGCACTTACGGAGCTTGGCGAAGGCGGCGTTGATCACGCACTGGATGAACACCAGGGTCAGCGCGTACTTGAACTTCTCCTGCTTCGCGCCCTCCCCGTAGCGGCCGCGGGTGCTGCGGGACGGACAGCGGGATACCGGTGACACCGGGACATAGCGGGACCCGCACCGGTGACACCGGGGAGCGAACCCAGGGCACGGGAAGGAGAGGCACCGGCTGCCCGGGTCTGCCCCGGTCCCTCCTCCCAGCCCCGGGTGTCCCCCTGGTCCCGCGCCCCTCGCCGGGGTCCCCGCTCCGTGTCCCTGCAGCCCCACGTCCCCGTCCCGTGTCCCGCCGTGTCCCCGGCCCCGCTCCGCCTCGGTGTCCCGGTGTGTCTCACATGCTCTCCTGCAGGATGCCATAGTAGAAGTAGCAGGCGAACACGCCGAGGAAGCAGACGGGCAGGCGGAGGCGCTCGGGCAGCCCCGCGGCCGCGCTCGCTCCCATGGTGGCGGCGGGGCCGCTCAGCGCGGGCGGCACCTCCAGCGCCACATCCCGCGGCGCCCCGGGCGGCCTCATCGGCCCCGCCGCGCCCGCCCCGCCCCGCGCCGCCCCGCGAGCTGCCGGACCCGCCGTGCGGGGAAAGGCGGGCGGGAAGCGCTGGGAACAGCGCGGAGCCGGGCGGGGGCTGCACACCGAGATCTTCGAACCCTCTCCGGGGCTGTCTCAGCCGCGGTTCGGCCGCGAAGGGATGGCCGGTGTGCGGGGCGGCACAGGCAGTACTGTGGACAGCCCAGCCTTGGGGGCCTTCGCGGTGCATGGCGCGCGCAGGCGCGCCACCAGATGTGGAGGACAGCGATTGGCTGAGCTGAGGGGGCGTGGTAGAGCAGCGGGCTCTGATTGGTGATCTCGGGGAGAGGCTCCGCCTACTCCGTGCGACACCAAGCGGGGCCTTCTGGGGTCCTTCCACCGGCCCGGACCCTGTTCGAGCCCGGCGGGGCAGAGGTGCGGGGTCCCCGCCGGGATCGGTTCCGCCCTTCCCGAGGCCCCGTTCAGTCGCTCCCGCTGCTCCGAGCCGCGCCTCTGGGAGGTTCCCGGGCTTGGTGGGGCCGGGGAGGGACGAACCCCCGCCATGGCACTTTGTCCTTCACAGTTCCTCTCATCCTTACGGGAATTCCGATACAATTCACAATTTCACAATCTCCAGGCCACATATCCCACCTCCAGGGCACCGCTTCCCGCAGGCTCCACGGAGGAGCTGCCGGTGCTGCAGTTCTCGAGGCTTCACACCACGAGGGAGCTCGGGGAGCTCTCTCGCCTCGGCTCTGCCCGCACTCAACACGGCGGCCCCGGTAACGGGCGCGCCACACCCCACGGGCCTCGCGCCCTTATCAAAGATGGCGGCCGCTGCCCCAATCCAAGATGGCGGCGCGCGGCTTCAGCGCCGGCGGCGCCTGCCCGGCTCCAAGATGGCGCGCGGTCACGTGACGGGGGTGTGGGCCGCGTCCCGGCGGAAGCGTGAGGGACCGAGCAGGGACCAGCGGCTGGCGGCGGCGGGAGCGGGGCTGGCGCCGCAGGAGCAGACGTGCCACAGGGCGGGGGACACGGCTGTCACCACGGAGTCCGCCAGTAGCAACACCGCGGCGGCCACCGCCGCTTCGCGGGCCGCGGGCGCCGGGGACCAGGCAACCTCGCTGCCCCCGCCCAGGATGCAGCGCAGGAAGGTGAGCACGGCCGGGAAACGCGGGAGGCGGCCGGTGGAGAGACCGGCGGCCTCAGGCCGCTGCTTTCTACCCTTCCCCAGACCCTCCACGCCTTCTCCCGGCTCCAAAACTGGGGGAAAAATAGCGGCCTTGAGCCCCCCCAGCGCCCGCCTCCCGCGCTCTATGATTGGCTGGAGCATTAGCAGGCGGCGCGCTGATTGGTCGCTGTATCTGTCACTCATCACCCCCAACGGCTACCGTTTCCCCTCCCCCGCGCCGGCAGCTGGGCCCGCCCCTTGCCGTTCCCGATTGGACACGCTCTCGGAGAACTGGTCGTCTATTGGACGGGTGTCCATGCCAGTCTGGCCGCTGATTGGCTACTGCTGCTGTCCATCCCCGCCCCCAACGGTCACCTCCCCGCGCGAGCCTTGTTTCTCCCTTCCCCCACCGCGCCGCGGCCCCCCCGCGGTTGGCGTTGCCGTGGGAGCAAGCCTCGCGCTGATTGGCTGCCGCTCGCTGTCAATCACGCTCTGTCGGGCCCGCCTTTTTGCTCCTCGAGCTGCCATTGGTGTGCCTCCTTTTATGCCCCGCCCGCGCGCACTGTGATTGGTTGGGGCCTGCGCGGCTCCGCTGGGTGCAAAACAAAGCGGCGCGGGGACCGCGCTCCCGCCACCGGCGCGAGCCGCCCCCCCCAATCCCCCCTCATCCCCTCATGGCGGCCGCGTCCCCCCCGCTCCCCTCACGATCGCCGCCCCCTCACGGCCCTTCTCGCGCCGGGCCCACGCAGCCGCCCCCAGACCCCACCGGCACCTGCCGCCACCCCTAGACCCTCGGTGTCCCCTCACGAAATTAGGCACAAGCGTGGAATTGCGGGGGAAACAAAATTAAAGGTTTTAGGTTGGAGTCTGAACGGTTTAATAAATGAGAAATGAAGTAAAATGCTGTAATAGTGTTAAATAAAGGTGATAACAGAAAGGGAAAGGAGAAAAAATTGCAATTACTGACCGATGGCAGATCCCCTTCTGACATCCAGATTGCTGCCCCCGCTTTGGGATAATTCTGATAATTCCTGCAGTTTATATATCCTGGGAATGGCACCCTGTGCTGGGAGCATCCCTTTGGCCGTCAGGGATCACCTGTCCTGGTTTGCTCTGGAAACTCCTCACTGGCAGAGCAGGAGACACAAAAAGAAGGGAAAAAAGAGTCCCTGACTTGGGCTAAACCACACATGTCACCCTTGCAGCTGGGAGGACATGAAGAACGTGAAATACTAATTGATTTTATGTAGTTTTTAGCAGTAAGTGCAGTTTTTGAGCGCAGTGTGCCGTTGCAGAGGAACGCGGGCAGCAGCTCGGATGGGACGGAGGACTCGGATTTCTCCACGGACCCCGAGCACACGGACAGCTCCGAGAGCGACGGCACCTCCCGGAGATCCGCCCGCGTCACCCGCTCCTCGGCCCGCCTCAGCCAGAGCTCACAGGGTACGGCAGGGCTTGTCCTGAAACTGGGGAAAGGTTCTCCTGAAAATGGGGAAAGGTTCTTCTTTAAACCAGGGAAAGGCTCAGCCAGAGCTCACAGGGTGCGGAGGGCTTGTCCTGAAACCGGGGAAGGGTTCTCCTGAAAATGGGGAAAGGTTCTTCTTTAAACCAGGGAGCGGCTCAGCCAGAGCTCACAGGGTAGAGAGGGCTTCTCCTGAAACCGGGGAAAGGTTCCTCTTTAAACCAGGGAAAAGCCTTTCCTTAAACTGGGGAAAAGCTCCTCCTTAAACCAGGGCAAGACTCTTCCTCAAACTGGGGAAAGGTTCCTCCTTAAACTGGGGAAAGAATCTTTCTTTAACCAGGGCAAGGCTCCTCCGTAAACTGGGGAAATGTTCTTCTTTAAACCAGGGAGAGGCTCTTCCTTAAACCAGGGCAAGACTCTTCCTTAAAGTGGGGAAAGACTTCTCCTTAAACTGGGTAAAGGCTCCTCCTTAAACCAGGAGAAGGCTCTTGCAGCCCCACACACAAAATCCCAGGTGCAGCTCCACACCACAGGCAATCCCAAGGGTTATGGGTTCTTATCTAAACGCTGATGGTTCTTATCTAAACTGAGGGATCTTTGCTTCTCCAAATGAGAGCTGGGCAGTAATTACAGGTCAATTAAGCTGTTAAACCTGGAGAAAGCTGGTGGCACTCCAGATTGCTCCAAGTGTCCTGAGATTTTATCAGCGAGGTGGGAGCGTGGTGATATGGGCAGGACAGAGGCATGGGGCGTTGGTCAGTGTGGGGCAGGGGGGATCTGAGGGTGCTGTGGTGTGACTGTGGTGTCCCTGTGGTTCCTGTGGTGTGACCGTGGTGTCTCGTGTCTCTATGGTGTGACCGTGGTGTCCTCATGGTGTGACTGTGGTGTCCCCATGGCTCCTGTGGTGTGATTGTGGTGTCCCCATGGCTCCTGTGGTGTGACTGTGGTGTCCCCATGGTTCCTGTGGCGTCTCTGAGGTTCTTGCGGTGTCCCCATGGTGTCCCCGTAGTGTGACCGTGGTGTCCCTGTGATGTCCCCCTTGTGTCCCTATGGTGTGACTGTGGTGTCCCCCTGGTTCCTGTGGTGTTTCTGTGGTTCTTGTGGTGTCCCCATGGTGTGACTGTGGTGTCCCCCTTGTGTCCCCATGGTTTCTGTGGTGTCTCCACGGTGTCCCTGTGGTGTGACTGTGGTGTTTCTATGGTGTCCCTGTGGTTCCTGTGGTGTGTCCCCACGGTGTGACCGCAGTGTCCCGATGGTGTCCCCGTGGCGTGAGCATGGTGTGACCATGGTATCTCCATGATGTCCCCGCGGTGTCCCCGTGTGTAACCTGCATTCCCCACTGTGTGCACAGACTCCAGCCCGGTGCGGAGCGCGGCGCCGTTCGGGCCGGACGAGCCGGTGTACTCCACGCGGAGGGTGACCCGCAGCCAGCAGCAGCCAGCTCCTGTCACCCCAAAGAAATACCCGCTGCGCCAGACCCGCTCCTCGGGCTCTGAGACCGAGCAGGCCGTGGACTTCTCGGACAGAGGTACCCACAGGGGCAGGGAATGGTGCATCAGGGCCTGCAGGGCCAGGGAATGCTCTGTTAGTGCCCACAGGGGCAGGGAATGGTGCACTGGGGCAGGGAATGGTGCATTGGGGCACACAGGGGCAGGGAATGGTGCACTGGGGCACAGAGGGCCAGGGAATGCTCTGTTAGTGCCCACAGGGGCAGGGAATGGTGCACTGGGGCAGGGAATGGTGCATTGGGACACACAGGGGCAGGGAATGGTGCATGGGCACCCACAGGGACAGGGAATGGTGCACTGGGGCACAGAGGGGCAGGGAATGCTCTGTTAGTGCCCACAGGGACAGGGAATGGTGCACTGGGGCACTGAGGGGCAGGGAATGCTCTGTTAGTGCCCACAGGGGCAGGGGATGCTGCACAGGGGCAGGGAATGGTGCATGGGCACCCACAGGGGCAGGGAATGCTCTGTTAGTGCCCACAGGGGCAGGGAATGGTGCACTGGGACACACAGGGGCAAGGAATGGTGCATTGGGGCCCAGAGGGGCAGGGAATGCTGCACAGGACCAGGAGATGCTGCACTGGCACCCACAGGGGTAGGAAATGCTGCACTGGCACCCACAGGGGCAGGGAATGCTGCATTGGCACCCACAGGGGCAGGGAATGCTGCATTGGCACCCAGAGGGGCAGGGAATGCTGCATTGGCACCCACAGGGGTAGGAAATGCTGCATTGGCACCCAGAGGGGCAGGGAATGCTGCACTGGCACCCACAGGGGTAGGAAATGCTGCACTGGCACCCACAGGGGCAGGGAATGCTGCATTGGCACCCAGAGGGGCAGGGAATGCTGCACTGGCACCCACAGGGGCAGGGAATGCTGCATTGGCACCCACAGGGGCAGGGAATGCTGCACTGGCACCCACAGCGGCAGGGAATGTTCTGTTGCTACCCAGAGGGGCAGGAAATGCTGCTCCCAGGGTGGGAGAGGCTCCGTGCAGCCCCTGAGGCGTTTCTGGGGTCGTTTTTGGGATCTCTCCCCTCAGTTCTGTCCCCTGTGCTCCCACCCAGACACCAAGAACGCGGCCGAGCACGACGAGTCCCCGCCGCGCACGCCCACGGGCAACGCGCCCTCCTCGGAGTCGGACATCGACATCTCCAGCCCCAACGTGTCCCACGACGAGAGCCTGGCCAAGGACATGTCCCTGAAGGACTCGGGCAGCGACCTCTCGCACCGGCCCAAGCGCCGCCGCTTCCACGAGAGCTACAACTTCAACATGAAGTGTCCCACGCCCGGCTGCAACTCCCTGGGTGAGCCCTGGCCTGGCAGCCCTGGGTGGTGTGAATCCTGAAAGCAAACAGGAATTGGGGCAGGAATGCCAAGGAAGGGTCTGGGCATGGGATGTGAGGCATAAATACAAAGATGTTACTCCTGGAGGGTTTTTTTTTCTGTGTTGGGGAGTGACAGGATGAGGAACCTGATAGGTGTGGGAGGAAAAGTCCCAGGTTTGTGAGCAGGGAACTGGTTTTTGCCAGAAACAGGATTTTAGTGCCAAATTATTGCACTCCCATCCCAGGCTGCTTTGGCTTAGTGTGAGGGGCAGGGAATGCCCCCTTCCTTTTTAAACCAGGGAGTTTCCTCCTCTTATCCCCCTGTCAGATCCTGAGGGACCAGATAGGAGGCTGAGCACAGGTCTGGGAGGAAATGTCCCAGGTTTTTGCCACAAACAGGATTTCAGTGCCAAATTATTGCACTCCCATCCCAGGCTGCTTTGGCTTAGAGTGAGGGGCAGGGAATGCCTCCTTCCTTTTTAAACTGGGGAATTTCCTCCTCTTATCCCTCTGTCAGTGATCCTAAGGAGCTGGATAGGAGGGTGAGCACAGGTGTGGGAAGAAAAATCCCACGTTTGTGGGCAGGGAATTGGTTTTTGCCACAAACAGGATTTCAGTGCCAAATTACTGCACTCCCATCCCAGGCTGCTTTGGCTTAGAGTGAGAAAGTTTTCCTTCCTTTTTAAAGCAGGAAGTTTCCTCCTCCTCCTCTTCCCCTGTCAGATCTTGAGGAACCTGATAGGAGGGTGAGCACAGGTGTGGGAAGAAAAATCCCACGTTTGTGGGCAGGGAATTGGTTTTTGCCACAAACAGGATTTCAGTGCCAAATTACTGCACTCCCATCCCAGGCTGCTTTGGCTTAGAGTGAGAAAGGTTTTCCTTCCTTTTTCAACTAGGAAATTTCCTTCTCCTCTTCCCCTGTCAGATCCTGAGGAGCCTGATAGGAGGGTGAGCACAGGTCTGGGAGGAAATGTCCCAGGTTTTTGCCACAAACAGGATTTCAGTGCCAAATTATTGCACTCCCATCTCAGGCTGCTTTGGCTTAGTGTGAGAAAGCTTTTCCTTCCTTTTTAAAGCAGGAAGTTTCCCCCTATCCCTCTGTCAGTGATCCTGAGGGTGAGCACAGGTGTGGGAGGAAACATCCCAGATTTGTGGGCAGGGAATTGGTTTTTGCCACAAACGGGATTTCAGTGCCAAATTATTGCACTCCCATCCCTGGCTGCTTTGGTTTACAGTGAGAAAGCTTTTCCTTCCTTTTTAAAGCAGGAAGTTTCCTCCTCCTATCCCACTGTGGGGAATCTGCCCCTGTGGGACGCTTCCTCCACCTCTTTGAGGCCATTTCTCACAGGTTTTGTTGTTTTTCTGACCCCTTGCAGGACACCTGACCGGGAAGCACGAGCGCCACTTCTCCATCTCGGGGTGCCCTCTGTACCACAACCTCTCAGCAGATGAGTGCAAGGTACACCTGGATGGTTCTGCCCTCTGATTTCCCCTCCTTTGGGAGTTTTAGGGTAAATGCTGAGCCCTGTGACGTGTGAGCAGCAAACAGCTCACCCCTGCGTGCTGCTGTGCTTGGCTGTGGGGCAGCAGCGTTTGTGTGTCACACCTGGAGGGGCAGGGGGTGACAAGGGGTGGCTGCAGCCCTGACAGGTGAATTTTGGCCTCCAGGTGCGAGCACAGAGCCGGGACAAGCAGATTGAGGAGCGGATGCTGGCCCACAGGCAGGATGACAACAACAGGCACGCCACCAGGCACCAGGTGAGGGCACAGCCCCAGCTCCCAGCTCCCAGCACGGGAATTGGGGCCTGGGCTCCCTTCTCCACATCCTGGGAGCTGCTGGGGCAGCCCTGAGCCTGCCCTGCTGCCATTCCAGAGGGGGAATGCCCTGGATCCCCTCAGAGAGGTTGGAGCAGGCACAGCTGTGTTCTGGGCATGATCCTTCCCCCGAGTTTGGATGTGCAGGAATTCCTGCAGAGCTGTAAACAGCAATTTCCCTCTGAGTAAGCAGCAGAGAGCCAAAGCAGGGCAATGACATTTCCCAGTCCCTGAGTCAGCTGGGAGCTGTTCCCCAGCACGGAGCTCACCCTGTCCTGTGGTGGAAGGAAAATTTCCTGCTTTGCATTCCTGGGCTGCAGCTGCAGTGCCCTGTGATTAGCAGAGGATCTGCTTCACGCCCCGTGGAATGGCACCAGCGTGGAACTCCTTGGGCTGGGCAGGGAATGGGGAGCTTTGGGGGGGCTGCAGCCTCTCAAGGCCCCACCTGGGCTTTCTTTCAGGCCCCCACAGAGAGGCAGCTGCGCTACAAGGAGAAGGTGGCTGAGCTCAGGAAGAAGAGGAACTCGGGGCTCAGCAAGGAGCAGAAGGAGAAATACATGGTAAAATCAGGAATTACATCCTTTCATTCCCCCCTGGGATGGAGTTTGGCTCTCCCAGTCATCCTGCAGGAGCCAGCAGCTGTGCTGTGTTTTTCCAGGAGCACAGGCAGACCTATGGCAACACCAGGGAGCCTCTCCTGGAGAACCTGACCAGCGAGTACGACCTGGAGCTGTTCCGCAGGGCCCAGGCCCGCGCCTCCGAGGACCTGGTGAGACCCTGCCCCAGGGACAGCCCCAGCACAGCCCCAGGCTCTGTGGGACCTGGTGAGACCCTGCCCCAGGGGCAGCTCTGGGGGCTCTGGGACCTGCTGAGACCCTGCCCCAGGCAAAGCCCCAGGCTCTATGGGACCTGGTGAGACCCTGCCCCAGGGACAGCTCTTGGGGCTCTGGGACCTGGTGAGACCCTGCCCCAGGGGCAGCTCTGGGGGCTCTGTGAGACCCTGCCCCAGGGGCTCTGTGGGACCTGGTGAGACCCTGCCCCAGCACAGCCCCAGGGCTCTGTGGGACCTGGCAGGCAGCATGGAGGGGTACCAGCTGTCCCCAGGGAGTGCTGGAGCTGAGCTCTGCGCTCAGGAATGTGTGGTGACATTCCAGGGGTGCTCCCAGGGGACAAGGACAGCTTCAGTGTCCCTGCTGAGGGCTGGTGACAGCAAAAGCCACCTCAGCCTCAGCCTGTGACTGAGTTCATGGGCTGGTGTTGCTGCAGCTCCTGAGGAGCCTCCCAAAGCCACATCCCATTCCAGAGAGGGATCAAAGGATCCTTTGATGCTTTCCTGGGACAGCTGGGGCACCTGGGGCAGAGCCCTGGGCTGTGTCACGGAGCCACAGGATGGACTGGGCTGGAAAAGCCCTCTGAGCTCACCCAGTGCCACCCGTGACCTGACACCACCTTGTCACCAAGTGCCGCATCCAGGCCTTTCCAAACACCTCCAGGGACGGTGGCACTTCCCTGGGCAGCCCCTTCCAACTCCCAATCCCTCTTTTTGGGAGGAAATTCCTCCTCATGGGCAGCCTGGCACAGCTGGGAGCCGTGTCCTGTCCTGTTGTTCCCTGGGAGCAGAGCCTGGCTGCAGCCTCCTGTCGGGGTTATGGAGAGCCAGGAGGTCTCTCCTGCTCCTTTTCTCCAGGATAAACACCCCCAGCTCCCTCAGCTGCTCCTCACAGCCCTCATGTCCTGTCCCTGGGGATCAGGAAAGGAGCAGGGGGTGACGAGCAGCTGTAGGAATTTATTGAAAAACGAATCCAGAAAACTCGACACAGATTTCCTCCAGGAAAACAAACCCCAATTCCCCTCCTGCTGCTCAGAGTTCACGTTTTGGCTCTCCCTGCTTTCCCCCCGGGGCAGGAGAAGCTGAGGCTGCAGGGGCAGATCACCGAGGGCAGCAACATGATCAAGACCATCGCGTTCGGGCGCTACGAGCTGGACACGTGGTACCACTCGCCCTACCCCGAGGAGTACGCGCGCCTCGGCCGCCTCTACATGTGCGAGTTCTGCCTCAAGTACATGAAGAGCCAGACCATCCTGCGCAGGCACATGGTGAGGGCTGGGGCCAGGCCGGCTGGGGAGCCTCCTCTGGGGGCAGGGAGGGCTCAGTGCTGCTGGGAGTCCTGCTATGGGGTCAGGGAATGGCTCAGTCCTGCTGGGGAGGCTGCTCTGGGGTCAGGGAGGGCTCAGTCCTGCTCTGGGATCAGGGAAGAGCTCAGTCCTGTTGGAAATGCTGCTGTGCGGTCAGGGAATGGCTCAGTGCTGCTATGGGGTCAGGGAATGGCTCAGTTCTGCTGAGGAGGCTGCTGTGGGACCAGCAAACACCTCATTCCTGCTGGAAGTCCTGCTGTGGGGTCAGGGAACAGCTCAATCCTGCTGGGAGTCCTGCTATGGGGTCAGGGAATGGCTCAGTCCTGTTGGAAATGCTGCTATGGGGTCAGGGAACAGCTCAGTCCTGCTGTGGGGTCAGGGAATGGCTCAGTGCTGCTATGGGGTCAGGGAATGGCTCATTCCTGTTGGGGAGGCTGCTGTGGGGTCAGGGAATGGCTCAGTGCTGCTATGGGGTCAGGGAATGGCTCAGTCCCACTGGAAACGCTGCTGTGGGGTCAAGGGGGGCTCATTCCCACTGGGAATGGCCCATCCAGGCTCAGCCCGTGCACGTGGCAGTGTCTGACACCAGGCTGGCCTGGCTGGGTTGCAGTGGCAGGCCAGGCTGCAGTTCCCTGTCCCCTGCAGCAGTTCCCTGTCCCCTGCAGCAGCTGCTGTCCCCAGGCCAGCAGTGACAGTCCTCATTCTGTCCCTGTCCCAGGCCAAGTGTGTCTGGAAGCACCCGCCGGGGGACGAGATCTACCGCAAGGGCTCCATCTCCGTCTTCGAGGTGGATGGCAAGAAAAACAAGGTGAGTGGGACCTGGGTGGCCCTGCAGGCACCCAGGGTGGCCCTGTGGCCCTGCACACAGCCAGGGTGGCCCTGTGGCCCTACAGACAGCTAGGATGGACTTGTGGCCCTGCTCACAGAGGGGCTGCTGCAGTTGGACCCTTCCTGCAGGAGTTTTGCTGCTGCTCCAGCAGCTCCCTCTGTGTCTCTCCCAGCAGAGGTGAGGGGCAGGATCCAGGCTCCATCACCAATGGAATTGTGTCCTGGCCCAGCTGCTCCGTTTCCCCATCATTTCTCAGATGATTCTGAGGGTTTTTTTGTCCTTTCCCAGGTGGTTTTGCCCACATTTGGGGTGTCCCAGTGGAATAAACACCTGTATCTTGGGGTATCCCACTGGGATAAACACCTGCATCTTGGGGTATCACATTGGGATAAACACCTGCATCTTGGGGTATCCCACTGGGATAAACACCTGCATCTTGGGGTATCCTATTGTAGTAAACACCTGCATCTTGGGGTATCCCATTGTAGTAAACACCTGCATCTTGGGGTATCACATTGGGATAAACACCTGCATCTTGGGGTATCCCACTGGGATAAACACCTGCATCTTGGGGTATCACATTGGGATAAACACCTGCATCTTGGGGTATCCCACTGGGATAAACACCTGCATCTTGGGGTATCCTATTGTAGTAAACACCTGCATCTTGGGGTATCCCATTGTAGTAAACACCTGCATCTTGGGGTATCACATTGGGATAAACACCTGCATCTTGGGGTATCCCATTGTAGTAAACACCTGCATCTTGGGGTATCCCACTGGAGTAAACACCTGCATCTTGGGGTATCCCACTGGGATAAACACCTGCATCTTGGGGTATCCCACTGGAATAAGCACCTGCATCTTGGGGTATCCCACTGGGATAAACACCTGCATCTTGGGGTATCACATTGGGATAAACACCTGCATCTTGGGGTATCCCACTGGAGTAAAAACCTGTATCTTGGGGTATCCCACTGGGATAAACACCTGCATCTCTTTTCTGTGCCCAGATCTACTGTCAGAACCTGTGTCTGCTGGCAAAGCTTTTCCTGGACCACAAAACCCTCTATTATGATGTGGAACCCTTCCTCTTCTACGTCATGACGGAGGCTGACAACACTGGCTGCCACCTGATCGGGTATTTCTCCAAGGTCAGTGCAAAACACCTCACTAAAATGGGGTTTAGGGCCCCTCGTCAGCACTGAATCCCTTTGGCAGCCTCAGCATTTGCTGCTTTTGGGAGCAGATGAAAAGTCCAAGGCTGAGCTGCAGGGTTGTTGTGTTTGCTGAGGGATTGCAGGAGCTGTGCTGCTCCATCTTTTCTCATTCCCAGCAAAAACCAACCCAGCTCCAAGGAATTGGAGTTGCCAGGAAGCAGAGTGGTGTCTTCATTGGGGAGAAAGAAACTGGGAAGGAATGTGGAGAAAAATGCATGGAAATAAATATTAAATAATATTAAAAATAAATATTAAAATTTTAAAAAAATTTAAATAAATTTTAAAAGAAATCACCATGATTTCTACTGCCAGGAAGCAGAGTGGTGTCTTCATTTGGGGAGAAAGAAACTGGGAAGGAATGTGGAGAAAAATACATGGAAATAAATATTAAATAATATTAATAATAAATATTAAAATAAAAATAAATTTTAAAAGAAATCACCATGATTTCTTCTGCCAGGAAGCAGAGTGGTGTCTTCATTAGGGAGAAAGAAACTGGGAAGGAATGTGGAGAAAAATGCATGGAAATAAATATTAAATAATATTAAAAATAAATATTAAAATTTAAAAAAATTTAAATAAATTTTAAAAGAAATCACCATGATTTCTACTGCCAGGAAGCAGAGTGGTGTCTTCATTGGGGAGAAAGAAACTGGGAAGGAATGTGGAGAAAAATACATGGAAATAAATATTAAATAATATTAATAATAAATATTAAAATAAAAATAAATATTAAATAATATTAATAATAAATATTAAAATAAAAATAAATTTTAAAAGAAATCACCATGATTTCTTCTGCCAGGAAGCAGAGTGGTGTCTTCATTAGGGAGAAAGAAACTGGGAAGGAATGTGGAGAAAAATACATGGAAATAAATATTAAATAATATTAAAAATAAATATTAAAATTTTAAAAAATTTAAATAAATTTTAAAAGAAATCACCATGATTTCTACTGCCAGGAAGCAGAGTGGTGTCTTCATTGGGGAGAAAGAGACTGGGAAGGAATGTGGAGAAAAATACATGGAAATAAATATTAAATAATATTAATAATATTAAAATAAAAATAAATATTAAATAATATTAATAATAAATATTAAAATAAAAATAAATTTTAAAAGAAATCACCATGATTTCTTCTGCCAGGAAGCAGAGTGGTGTCTTCATTAAGGAGAAAGAAACTGGAAAGGAATGTGGAGAAAAATACATGGAAATAAATATTAAATAATATTAATAATAAATATTAAAATAAAAATAAATATTAAATAATATTAATAATAAATATTAAAATAAAAATAAATTTTAAAAGAAATCACCATGATTTCTTCTGCCAGGAAGCAGAGTGGTGTCTTCATTAGGGAGAAAGAAACTGGGAAGGAATGTGGAGAAAAATACATGGAAATAAATATTAAATAATATTAAAAATAAATATTAAAATTTAAAAAAATTTAAATAAATTTTAAAAGAAATCACCATGATTTCTACTGCCAGGAAGCAGAGTGGTGTCTTCATTGGGGAGAAAGAAACTGGGAAGGAATGTGGAGAAAAATACATGGAAATAAATATTAAATAATATTAATAATAAATATTAAAATAAAAATAAATATTAAATAATATTAATAATAAATATTAAAATAAAAATAAATATTAAATAAATTTTAAAATAAATCATCATGGTTTCTTTTGCCAGGAAGCAGAGTGGAGTCTTCATTGGGGAGAAGGAAACTGGGAAGGAATGTGGAGAAAAATGCATTAAAACAAATATTCAATAATATTAAAATAAATATTAAAATAAAAATAAATTTTAAAAGAAATCACCATGATTTCTTTTTAAATAAAACAGCTAAAGGAATAAAATTTCTGACTTCCCTGCTGTCTGCTCTTGTTTCCAGGAGAAGAATTCCTTCCTCAACTACAACGTGTCCTGCATCCTGACCATGCCCCAGTACATGAGACAAGGCTATGGCAAAATGCTCATTGACTTCAGTGAGTGTGGGGGCAAATTCTGGCCAGAAATCCCTCCAGCTCCACCAGGAAATCTCACCTGGCTGCTGGAGCAGCTCCCATCCTCGTTTCTGAGTGGTTTAAATGTGGTTATTTTTATATTTTTTAGGCTATTTGCTGTCTAAGGTCGAGGAGAAGGTTGGCTCCCCAGAGCGTCCCCTGTCCGACCTGGGCCTGATCAGCTACAGGAGCTACTGGAAGGAGGTTCTGCTGCGGTACCTGCACAACTTCCAGGGCAAGGAGATCTCCATCAAAGGTCAGTTTGGGCTTTGGGATCATCCCTGAGCCTCTCAGGCTGCCTCACCCACCCAGGTGTTCGTGGAGCACTGAATTCCGTGGGGTGTTGGGAATGGCTCCTTCCCAGCCCTGCCACCAGCAGAGTTGGGCCATGTGCAGCATTGTAAAGGATGTATTGGCTGCTTGATGAAAAAATGACAATTTTAAAAAAGATTCAGCAAAAAGCTTCATCCAGCTGTGTGTTAGAATATTAATTTTAACCAAAAATGGCTCCAGCAGCCAATATTGAGAATATTTGGCCTTTTTAAAATGGCGTTTCTCTGTTGGTGGCACCTGGGAATTCCTGGGGATGTGAGGTACCCTGGAAAAGCAGGATTGCATTTTCTCTCAGGGGATTTATTACAGATCCCAAACCCAGCACCCCAAACCCCTGCAGCCCTGCCCAGCCCCACATTCCTGAGGGGATGGCACCGAGCTGGTGCTCCCAGGGCTCTGGGGCTGTGTCAGAGGCTCTGCTGGGCTCTGCTTGCAGAGATCAGCCAGGAGACCGCTGTGAACCCCGTGGACATCGTCAGCACCCTGCAGGCCCTGCAGATGCTCAAGTACTGGAAGGGCAAACACCTGGTCCTCAAGAGACAGGTGAGCCTGGGGGGCCTCCCTGCACCTCCTTTCCTGGTTGGAATCAGGGATTCCTTGGGTTCTCCTCCTTTTCCTTGCTGAAATCATTAATTCCTTGGGTTTCCTTTTTCCTTTTCCTTTTTCCTCTTTTCCTTTTCCCTTTTTCCTTTTTCCTTTTCCCTTTTCCTTTTCCCTTTTCCTTTTCCCTTTTCCCTTTTCCCTTTTCCTTTTCCCTTTTTCCTCTTTCCTTTTTCCTTTTCCTTTTCCTTTTTCCTTTTTCCTTTTTCCTTTTTCCTTTTTCCTCTTTCTTTTTTCCTTTTCCTTTCTGGAATCAGGAATTCCTTGGGTTCTCCTCCTTTTCCTTGCTGCAATCATTAATTCCTTGGGTTCTCCTCCTTTTCCTTGCTGAAATCATTAATTCCTTGGGTTTCCTTTTTCCTTTTCCTTTTTCCTTTTTCCCTTTTCCTTTTCCCTTTTCCCTTTTCCTTTTCCCTTTTTCCTCTTTCCTTTTTCCTTTTCCTTTTCTTTTTTCCTTTTTCCTTTTTCCTTTTCCTTTTTCCTTTTTCCTTTTTCCTTTTTCCTTTCCCTTTCTGGAATCAGGAATTCCTTGGGTTCTCCTCCTTTTCCTTGTTGGAATCAGGGCTTCCTTTTCCTTTTCCTTTTCCTTTTCCTTTTCCCTTTCTGGAATAAGGAATTCCTTGGGTTCTCCTCCTTTCCTTGCTGCAATCATTAATTCGTTGGGTTTTCCATTCCTCCTTTTCCTGGTTGGAATCAGGGCTTCCTTTTTCCTTCTTTTTCCTTTTTCCTTCTTTTTCCTTTTCCTTTTTCCTTTTCCTTTTCCTTTCCCTTTCTGGAATCAGGAATTCCTTGGGATCCCCATTCTTCCTCTGTCTTGCTGCAATCAGGAATTCCTTGGGTTCTCCTTTTCCTTCTTAGAATCAGGGCTTCCTGGGGTTCTCTGATGTTATTTTGGTCTTATTTTGGTGTTATTTTGGTGTAACTCTGCCGTTATTTTGCTGTTATTTTGCTGCTGTTTTCGTGTTGCTTTGGCGTAACTCTGCTGTTGTTTTGGCGTTGTTTTGGCGTAACTCTGCTGTTCCTTTGCCATTCCTTTGAGGCATTAATGGCCTTTGGGGTGCTGTCCCAGGGCTGATTCCCCACCAGGGTCACCCCTGAGCTCCCCTCCCTGCTGTCCCCAGGACCTGATTGACGAGTGGATCGCCAAGGAGGCCAAGAGGTCCAACAGCAACAAGACCATGGATCCCAGCTGCCTCAAGTGGACCCCTCCCAAGGGCACCTAGGTGTCCCCGGCAGCGTCCCCAGCAGAGGAGGATGCGTGTGCTTGGCTCTGCAGCGTCCCCAGGGCGGGTGACCGGGCTGGCCTGGCCCGGCCCCGTGTCCCCACAGTTCTGAGGAACTCGGACGTTTCGGCCTCAGTGAGGCCGCGAGGACTGGAGGGCTCTGGGAGCCCCAGGGAGCTGAGGAGCTGTGGCTGCTGGGCCTGTCCCTGTCCCTGCTGTCCTGCTGTGTCCCTCTGTCCCTCCTGGGCTCTGGGACAGCGCTGGAAATGCTTCTGTGGGGCAGCCCTGCTGTGGCTGCTCTGCCCCATGCCTGGAATAGCTGTAGTGGCCTCCTTGCCCCTCTCCCAGCAGTTTTCCCTAGGACCCAGCAGATCTTCACTTAGTTCCTGTTGTACAGCCAGAATTGCACCTCCCGCACCCGAGGGAGTCCCTGGGTGTCCCTGCCACCCCTCCTGGAGCCACCACAGCCCTGCTGGAAGCGCCTCTGGATAGAATTCCCTTTTTTTCCTGGTGTGTATCTCGTGGAATTGCTGAGTTCCTGTACATAAAGCACCTGCTGAGTGTATTCCCCTGGAGATGTTTTTCCCAGAGCAGCCTTCCTGGAATTGTAGGTCCCTTTTTATTGGAGTTGGTTTTTTTCCCCCTCCAGGCTGAAGGAATCCAAACTTTGGCCTTTTCCAAAGAGCCACAGGAACTCCCAGCCCCAATTCCAGGAGCTGTTGGGCTGCTGTGCTCCGGGGAGGGATGGAATCAAAAAAAAAAAAGCTTTGATTCCTCCCTCCCATCAGCAGAAATATCCCAGAATGGCCTCCCAGTAAAACCACTGTCCTCGTGCCACCCGTCCCTGGGTGGCTCCAGTGTCACTGACAGAGGGACAGCCTGGGAAGGGCTGAATTCCCTGGTCCCAGAGCTGATTGCTCCATCCCAGTGCTGATTTCAGTGATCCCAGTGCTGATTTTGGTGATCCCAGTGCTGATTTCAGTGATCCCAGTGCTGATTTCAGTGATCCCAGTGCTGATTTTGGTGATCCCAGTGCTGATTTCAGTGATCCCAGTGCTGATTTCAGTGATCCCAGTGCTGATTTTGGTGATCCCAGTGCTGATTTCAGTGATCCCAGTGCTGATTTCAGTGATCCCAGTGCTGATTTCAGTGATCCCAGGGCTGATTTCAGTGATCCCAGTGCTGATTTTGGTGATCCCAGGGCTGATTTCAGTGATCCCAGTGCTGATTTTGGTGATCCCAGTGCTGATTTCAGTGATCCCAGGGCTGATTTCAGTGATCCCAGTGCTGATTTCAGTGATCCCAGTGCTGATTTTGGTGATCCCAGTGCTGATTTCGGTGATCCCAGGGCTGATTTCAGTGATCCCAGGGCTGATTTCAGTGATCCCAGGGCTGATCTCAGCGATCCCAGTGCTGATTTTGGTGATCCCTGGGCTGATTTTGGTGATCCCAGTGCTGATTTTGGTGATCCCAGGGCTGATCTGTGATTCCAGTGCTGATTTCGGTGATGCCAGGGCTGATTTCCTCCATCCCAGTGCTGGATTCCCTGCTCCCAGTGCTGATTTCAGTTATCCCAGTGCTGGATTCAGTGATCCCAGTGCTGGATTCAGTGATCCCAGTGCTGATTCCCTGCTCCCAGTGCTGATCTCGGTGATCCCAGTGCTGATGTCAGCGATCCCAGTGCTGATCTGTGATCCCAGTGCTGATCTCAGTGATCCCAGTGCCGATTTCCTCCATCCCAGTGCTGAATTCAGTGATCCCAGTGCTGATTTCCTGGTCCCGGTGCTGATTTCAGTGATCCCAGTGGTCCCAGTGCTGATTTCAGTGATCCCAGTGCTGAATTCAGTGATCCCAATGGTCCCAGTGCTGGATTCCCTGCTCCCAGTGCCGATTTCCTCCATCCCAGTGCTGAATTCAGTGATCCCAGTGCTGATTTCCTGGTCCCGGTGCTGATTTCAGTGATCCCAGTGATCCCAGTGCTGATTTCAGTGATCCCAGTGCTGAATTCAGTGATCCCAGTGGTCCCAGTGCTGGATTCCCTGCTCCCAGTGCTGATTTCCTCCACCCCAGCGATTCCTCACGGAGCAGGGTGTGAAATGAAGCACTCCTGGGAAGGTGGGAGCCATTCCCAGTAACCACTGCCCCATCCTGACTGGAAAAGCTCCCTCCAGGTTCCCTCCTGTTCCCTCCTGTCCCTGCCTTTCTCCTGGAGCCCCAGAGCGCCTCCATCCCCTCGGTGCTCACCGTGGGCCTCGTGGGCATTACTGACCCTGCTGTCCCCAGCTCAGATCCCAGGAATGTCCCAGCAGGGCAGGGGGAGGCTCCTGCTCCCGTCCCTGCTGGGCTCTGCTGCTCCTGTCCCCACTCCTCAATAAAAGCATGTTCCTGCTGCAGCCCTGCCTTGTCCTTTCCCCCTGTCCCCAGGGCCCTCTGAACCCACCCCAGGCCTGGGCATTTGGGAATTGGGGCTGGAGCAGCCTCGGGGTTGGGTATTTCCCAAAAATCCTGCTCTGGACAGTTGCTTTGAACCCTTTCCATGAAGGAAATTTCCCTGATACCCATCCTAAACCTCTCCTGGCACCTGGGGCTGTTCTTGGGACCAGAATTCTGAGTTTTCCCCACATGGAATTTCCCCTTTTCCATGAAGGAATTTTTCCTGATACCCATCCTAAATGTCCCCTCACACTTGAGAATGTTCTTGGGACCAGAAGAGTTTTCCCCACTTGGAATTTCCCTTTTTCCATGAAGGAATTTTCCCCAGATACCCCTCCTAAACCTCACCTGGGGTTGTTCTTGGGACCAGAATTCTGAGTTTTCCCCACATGGAATTTCCCCTTTTCCATGAAGGAATTTTCCCTGATACCCATCCTAAACCTCTCCTGGCACAACCTGAGGCTGTCCTTGGGACCAGAAGAGTTTTCCCCACATGGAGTTTTCCCCTTTTCCATGAAGGAAAATTCCCTCATACCGTTCTAAACCTGGCACAACCTGAGGCCGTCCTTGGGACCAGAAGAGTTTTCCCCACGCTGAGGGAAAGCTGCTGAAGGAGAATTCCCCGAGATCTCCCTGAATCTCCAGGAGCTGCTCGCTCTGTGGTTGCTGATTGGAATTCCTGCTGGCTTCTCCCTTTGCTGGGGTGGTTTGGGGCAGGATGTGGTGGGGAGCAGGGGCTGATGTTCCCAAAAGGAGCCGGGGGCAGCAGGAAGGGACGGGAGCTAAATCCATGCGGTGACCTCAGCTGTTCCTATTGTCATCCTCCATCCGCGGGGACAATCCCAAAGCCACGGAAAGAGCTGGAACAGCCTCTCCTGGCCAGGGCAGAGCAGCAGCTCTATTTCTATTCCTGGGCCCATCCCCTGTCATTATCTCAGCCTTTCCTGCCCTCCCCAGCCCGGCCCACGCGGCCCCAAAACCGCCCGAGGTGCAGGAGGAAAACGGGAGCCAGGAGAGGGAAAGGAAAACATGGCCAGGAAACCGCGGATCCCAAAGGCTGCTGTGGCTTTGCTGAGGAGAGCTGGGGCTGGCACCTTCCTGCAGTGCCAGGCAGGGCTGGCACCTCCCTGCAGTGCCAAGCAGGGCTGGCACCTCCCTGCAGTGCCCAGGTAGGGCTGGCACCTTCCTGCAGTGCCCAGGTAGGGCTGGCACCTCCCTGAGTGTCCAGGCAGAGCTGGCACCTCCCCGAGTGCCCAGGCAGGGCTGGCACCTTCCTGCAGTGCCCAGGCAAAGCTGGCACCTCCCTGCAGTGCCAGGTAGGGCTGGCACCTTCCTGCAGTGCCAGGCAGGGCTGGCACCTCCCTGAGGGCCCAGGCAGGGCTGGCACCTCCCTGCAGTGCCCAGGGAGCCAGAACATTCCTGAGCCCGGGCCTGCTTTGGGATCACAGCTCTGGAATGATTTGGGATGGAGGGATCCTAAATCCCGGCCATTCCCACCCCTGGGATGGAGGGATCCTAAATCCCAGTCATTCCCACCCCTGGGATGGAGGGATCCTAAATCCCGGTCATTCCCACCTTTGGGATGGAGGGATCCTAAATCCCAGTCATTCCCACCTTTGGGATGGAGAGATCCTAAATCCTGGTCATTCCCACCCCTGGGATGGAGGGATCCTAAATCCCGGTCATTCCCACCTTTGGGATGGAGGGATCCTAAATCCCAGTCATTCCCACCTTTGGGATGGAGAGATCCTAAATCCTGGTCATTGTTACTTCCAGGGATGGAGGGATCCTAAATCCCAGCCATTCCCACCCCTGGGATTCAAGGATCCTAAATCCCAGCCATGGGCACTTCCAGGGATGGAGCACCCACATTTTCCCAAGAAAACCCATTCCAGCCCCTCATCACCGCCTGCTCTTCCCAGTTCTCCCAGTTTGGGCTCCTGAGCTGGGAGCTGGAGGCTTCTCCCGCCTCTGGAGGCCCCGGGCAGCTGGGAAGGAGCAGGATCCCAGGAAAATTTGGAATTTTGGGCAATTCCAGCGAGTTCCTGGCTAGCCAAGCTCCCCGGGAAGTGTCAGTGAGGGAAAAGCTTCCCGAGGTTTCCAGCAGGAAAACCTTCCCCAGGTTTCCAGCAGGACGGGATCCCAGCAAGGGCAGCAGAGGGTGCTGCTGCCCCGGGCAAGGCAGGAAATCCTGCGGGAGCTCGGGGCGGCTTTGGCTGGAATTCATCCCGGAATTCTGGGCAAAAAGAGAGGGATATTGGAGATGTGGGAAGGGCACGGGGAGAGGGACAATTCCTGAGCTGGGCTGAGGTGTTGGAGCCATTCCCAGCTGTGCAGGGCGTTGGTGGGGAATCATCAGGAATCAGGGAATCACACGGTGATCCCAAGTGGGATCCCAAGATCCCAATAACCATTCCAAGGCCCCGGGATCATCAGGAAAGGTTTCTCTGCACGGAGCCCTGGCGTTGTTTGGGCAGAGCAGGGCCTGGCTGGGACACTGGGATCATCCAGGGGAGCTCTGCCTGCAGATCCGGCTGGATCAGGAACTGCTGGTGATTCAGCAGGAGCTGCTGCTGCTCCCTGTGAGTCACTGCAGGGTGAGGAGGGAGGGAGGGATCAGGGGATCCATGGATGGATGGAGGGATGGATGATGGATGGATGGATGGATTTATGGATGGATGGATGGATGGATGGATGGATCCACGGATGGATGGATGATGGATGGATGGATGGATGGATGCATGGATGGATGGATGATGGATGATGGATGGATGGATGGATTGATGGATGGATGGATGGATGGAAT